ACATCTTAGTTCGTGTTCGGCTCATTAACTTATCGAACGAAATTAACGAGCCAAACACGAGCTTTTTAACGAGCCGAACACGAGCTGTTCGCGAACAACGAGCCGTTTTGACAGCCCTAATCAAGGCACACTATTAACTTTGATGTAATTTTGATTCAAAATAAAATGATCCAATTTTCATCAATTTTGTAACTTATAAGATAAATCCTTAATCATATATATATATATATCATTCACTCTGTACTACGGCCGCTACTAAGTTAACTAACTGCGCATTTCAAAGGTAAAAGATGACAACCCGATCACTGTATAGTTGGCTTCCTATTACTTTGGTTAGTATTATAAGTTATAAGTAATATCATACTATATGTATTAGATGGAATCCTGACGTCAAACTCTATGATTTAGCTCTTACTTTCGAAGTGAGATTTTTGTTTGCTGGCACATATTTTTTTATAAACTTATATTTAGGAGCTAAGAGGGATGGATGACAGTTTACACTCTGCATTAAATTTTTAGGATAGCATTAATCCCTAGATGAGAGGAGAAAATTTGTCGGTTTGCTTGGTTTGGCAATGCTAACAAAGACAAGATAGCTAGCGGCTGACTCATGAGTCATGAGAGGCATCAATGATTTTTCAAAAAGTTTTTTTGTTGAAGGTAAGAAAAAAGAAACCAAGATAATCTTACATTGCAGTTAGAAGGTAGTTGTAATTGATTGGCCTTTTAGTTGTAATGTAATGCATATCCAAAATTAAAAAGGTTAATCAGTTGTAGTGTTCTTCTTAAATTTGTATAAGTCAAGATATTAGAAGGATTGTGCTCATTCAGAAGTGGGTGATGATTTTTGTAATAGGCTAGAAGGTCTTTGAATTCATTTTTTATCAGTACTCATGATAAATAGGATCACTTCATACTTCTTTTTTGAATATATAAACAATGTCTAACTCGACAAGTGCTCTTGTCACGAATGAGTGAGTAATCGTATTGATAAAATATCATCATATATTAAGGAGTTTGGAGAAAATAGAACCAAAAATAAACAAAATATGGTGATTTGTATATTGAATTTGTAATATGGAAGAAGTCGCCCTCAATGACAAGAAAGCTAGTTCAGACGAAGAATCAATTTTTGGGCTCCATTTCGACGTCTTCATGCAGTTGAAACCATCAACACAATATTATCAATGATATAACAGTCTAATGTAACATTCTTTTAAAATATTTTAATAAAAATTGACATTCATCTTTGTGGGCCAATAGAATAGAAATTGAATAATCCAAGATTTGAAAAAATAGCTTGAACAATATCCAATTTAGGCCAACCAAAAGTGATCTTATTTATAAGATAAAAATTAGAAGGTGTCAATATGTGGGCTTTTTATTCAGTAAAAATAAGGGCAAGCTTTTTATTTGTGGAGTCATTGTCTTAAATAACAATTTGGAGTCTTAAGAATTCTCATAAGCAAAAGCTTGTAAAAATGATTTAAGAATGCATTAGAACAAGGGGTGTCAAATCAAACTCATAGTCGGATTTGGGATTGAACTGAAATTAATTCAATAAGAAATTGTTTGACTGAAATCTAACCCAAATATAACTTGGGACAGAAAGTCCAACCTAAATTCTATGTTCTTTCTTCAAATCAACTGACTCAAACTGATCCACGCAACCCATTTAAAATATGCATAATAGTTATTTGGGTCAATATTGGTTCAATATCTTAGTTTCCAACCAATTTCAAATTATTAGGTCAATTTTATGTCAATTGGGCTAACAAGTCTCAAACAATAAATATGTTGGGATTTTTTATCTGAACACAATTCAAAAATTAGTTGGGTCAACCTAAACCTAGAATTTCTTATTCAAGTTTGAGTCAATTTGATATGTTGAATCAATTTTTGACACCCCAAATTGAAACCCAATCCAGCATAATGATGTCACCTCCCAACAAGCAATACAAGAGTTGGAGAAGTAGCTTCTATCGATATTTCAGAAGAAATAGGTTCATGTTAGCTTCAAATTTGAGAGAAGTGCTAATCTAAAAAAAAAATTCTTAAAAGAAGAGTGAAAGTAACTTGTATTAATATTATACAAAAATAAAAAAGCAATTGTTACTTTTAATGATATTATTTAAACTTTAATCACACTTTTATTATATTATAACTATTTCTTATGTGATGAACTTTATTTATGCTTACATATTATTAGTTAGCCTTATTTTTAAAAAAAATGTTAAGTTTGCTAATTACACAATCGGAAGTTACACTAACTCCCTTACGATGTGTAACTTAGAAGTTTAAGAAAAAAGACACACTTTTTGTGTCATTTATTTAAATTACTCATAAAGTGATTAAAATAAAATGTTTATTCATGCTTTCAGATGACTTTTAATTGTAATTCAAAAGCTTTGTAGTAAAATGGATATATAAAATAAGTATGGAATATATATATTATAAATGGCTAGATATTGAAAATAACAAGTTCTCAAATTTCCTTCCTATATACAACTGCACCTTTTAATAGAAATAAATTTAAAAAAAGCTAAATGATTAACATATAAGAATCTTAAATGTGCTTCAATAGAACAAAAAGTGAAAGATGAATCAAGCCTAAGGTCTTTTAATCCAACACTTCCAGTTCTTTAAGAGTTATAATTTCAAGCTTTTTGGTGATTTATTTCAGTGGCAAATACAATTTCTTTTGATAATGCAAACTTCCGCTTGCATTTTCCAAAACTTAAAGTTCGATCCATTTAACTTCTTAAATTTGTACCTTATTTTGTTGGTCATTGCTCCCACTCAAAATAAAAAATTTCAGTAAAGAAACCCTGGTCCAAAACCACTTTTTGGGGTGAAAATTATAAGGATAACACCAATTCAACTAACTAGGAACAAAATATCAAATAGAAACGCGTAACAAGGAAATCATAGAAAACATATCAATCTTTAATGTGAAAAAACCTGAAAACAACAAAAAATCAAGGAGCGACATCACACCAAAATTTCACTATGAAAGAAGAACTGTACAAATTTTTCACCACTCAAATCATCTCTCTACGACATTGAAACTTACAAGAATTTCACTTCCAATACACTTTTGATGAAATCACACGGTGAAAGAAACCTCTAAAACTCACCACAACATCTATGCTCCATTAAAAGACCTTCACGCACAAGCATCGTCACTCTGAA